ATTTTAACGGTTTTTTTTTTTGGATATTCATATGAATTTAAAGAAACGTTTGATTTTTTAAAATTTTTTTCACGCCCCCCCCCCCAAAGAGGGATGTGCTCTACTTTTGTTGTTTAAAAGTTAAAAACCGGTTTTGAAATCGATACTAAAAAAAAAGAACAAAATTTTTTTGCTTCCAAAAAATGTTTTTAAATAAATTAAAACGAGGGAGTCGTCAACCGGTTTCGCCACCGAATGGAAAATCAAAAACGAAAAAAAAAAAAAGATTCGACGACGATCGGCGAAAAGCCAGCCAGAGACGTTTTTTTTTATGTTCAGAAAGCTAAAAAAGTGGTGGTGGTGGTGGAAAGGAAGAAGAGAAAGAAAAGAAGAAAATAGTAGGAGTTCAGAAAATACAAAAAGATTTTATTCTTATTTATTAACCACAGAAGGATTCGAAAATAATAAATTTTTTCTCTCGGACGGAGAAATCGTAAAAAATTCAAAGGAATTGGCATAACAAACAAAAACAACAACAGCAGGAGTAGGAGTAGAAGCAAGAGTACCAACACTCGCAACAAAAAATTCCAAAACGAAAAACCTGTAGTCTTTGGAGAAGAAATGCGGAAAAAAAAGAAGAAAAAATTCCAAAATGTTAAAATCCCTCCTCTCTTTCAAGAGAATTTATCATCATCATCATTATAATATTTACTGGAGAATCTTTTCTCTCTCTTTCTCTCACTCTCTCTCTCACTCTTTCTCTCTGAGCCAAAAAAAAAAAAAAAAATTTTTTTTATAAATTATAATTCTGGTAAGGTTTGAATGAACATAAAAATTTATTTTATACGGCGTGATTGTAATTCATCAAAAAAAAAAAAAAAAAAATTTTAATATGGAATCAATTTGGTTGAAAATTTTTCCTGGAAGCCATTTTGTTTTTTTAGGCGCTCGTCGTATTTCGCCGCTCCCGCGAGCAAAAATTTTAAATAATGCAAAAATGTTGTTTTTTTTTTTTTTTTTTTTTTTTTTTAAATGAAGAATTTCTTGTGAATGAATTTCACAAAGTGAGTTATTATCATCATCATCGTCATCATCGTCGTTATCATTATTATTATTATTATTATTTGGCTCCTCCTTCTCGTTTTCCTTTAAATTCTTTGAATATTTTAAAAATTAAAAAAAAAAAAATTTTATCATTTCTACGGGTTTTATTGGTCATTGATTTTTACGACTCGAGAAAATGATAGTCATTCAAATGTTGCCGACATGTTTTTCTTTCTTTCGTTCATTAATTTTCGACGCGTTAAGTTGGCTAAACTTATTTCTTGTTGACCGTTTGAATCAACGACTCGCGGCGGCGTCCACCTTTTTTTTATTTTTATTTTTTTTTTATTTCTCCCGTTCGAATGAGATGAACTCGTTTTTACGTTTTAATATTTAACTTTCCATTACCTACCCTAACGAAATGATGATGATGATGATGATGATGATGCGCGATTTGAATCCGGATAAAAATTTTTTTTTTTTTTTGACGGGTAGAAAACGATGATAATAATGATAATAAATTATTTAGTTTTAAAACGACTTGAATTAATTGGGTAGGTGTTACGTGTGGTTTACGGTAGATTTTTCGCCATTGGTGGTGGTGGGGGGGTAGGTAACGAAAACCGGATGTGGTAACCGGGTATATCGTTTTGAATTCGAAAGCGAGAAAAACCGTAAAAAAAAAAAAAAAAAATTCACTTTTTTCTCATAGCCGTCATAAGAAAAAAATGTGGCATGTCAACTAATCAGGCCGATTCGAAAATTCCGGGCACGCGGGGTACCTGTTTTCGATACGGATTTCAATGCCCCCGAGATATTTTGAAAGAGAAATAATAATAATAATAATTTTTTTTACTTTCAAAAGTTGTAAATTATTTTGCGCGGATTAATTTTTTTTCTCTTCTCGGAATGTGGAAATGATGGCATTTAAAACTTTTAAAAAAAAAAAATTATACCATATAATTGTTGTTATTGTAAATTTTTTTTTTGTTGAAAAGTTTTCTGGAAATTTCTGTACCAGTTATTTACGATCGTTTTCTGATTCGTTCGTTCGTTTGTACGCCGATTTTTCTTTAAACTTTTAATTTTTTCATTCCGCCATTTTTTTCGTATCGAAATGTTAACGTCCGATTATAAATGTCGATGGTGTGTACTCTGTGCATTTTTTTCTCCTCCTAATTGAAATTTTTATTTTTCCTCGTTTTTCTTTAGTTTTTACCTGTTGGTACGATATGGATGCGATGACCGATTAAAAATACATTCCATCGCGCGCGTGTGACTGACTGAATTGTTTTTGTTTTTCCTCCTCTATCTCTCTCTCTTTCTCTCAATCTTCTCTACGTGCGTTTACGTGGAACGCGAGAGTGTTCGTCGTCCTATTATACGTCGGAAATTCCATTTTAACAAACAAACTAAAAAAGAAATAATAGTGACCAATTAAAACGAGGAAAAAAAGAAAATATGAAAACGATAATGATGATGATGATGATGACGATGATTATACTGATGAATTTAGAGATGAGAGAGAGAGAGAGAAAAAACTTTTAGGAAAAAGTGATTTAACTTACCTGATAAGGTTAATTCGGATTTATTAACACGTTGAGGTAAAAAAGAAAGAAAGAAAGAAAGAAATATTTGTTGTCGTCTTTGTTTTTCATATTATTATTATTAATTGAAATCTTTGATTGGGGAGGGGGTTGTCAAAGTGACAATTAAAGTTTTTCCCCCCAAAAAAACCCTTTCGTCCCTCTCTTTCTCTCTGTCTCTCTGTCTTCTGTGTGTGTGTGTTCGTGTTCGTGTTTCTCCATCTTTTTTTTTTTTTTTTTTTTTTTTTACTTTTTTCCTCTTTGAGCATTCGATTTGCTCACGTATTAGCAAAAGAATAGGTTATTGCCTTTTTTTTTTAAATAAATAAATAAATATTTGAAACGAGTTGAAGTTAATAAAATTTATTCGATTGTTGTTCGATTGTTGTTGTTATATTCATTATAATAAAATGATCGATTACGGATCAATAACAATAAAATTTTTATTTATTTTTTCTTTTCGTATCGTCATCATCATCGTAGTCGTCGTCGTTGTCATAATCATCATTATTATTATTTTTAATAGGATGACGTGTATTTACGATGGGGGCGCGGGTTCGATGGTCGTGACGGTGGCGAATACGGTTGTAATATTTCAAACGAAGAAAAAATTTAATATTTTTTTTTTTTTATTCCTTGTGTGTGTAGCCACCTTAAAAGGTAGTTTGACCTTTTTTTTTTGAAAATTTATGTGTATTACCGGAATTTTACAAAGAAGAAGAAGGAGGAGGAGGAGAGGGAAGAAAAGGAAAAAGACAATTTGTGTGTGTTTGTGTGTGATGCTATGTGATGATATGCGGAGATGGGATAGAAAAAAAGACCTTCCTTGTGTGAGGTTAATCATTTTCTCTCTGTCTCTCTCTCTCTCTCTCTTTTTTTCTATTTCTTCTCCTTCTTCTTCATCATTTTGAAATTTGACGTTGACATTTTAATTGCACAAGGGAAAATTCCCTTTTTTTTTTTTTGTAAAATTTATTAAATTAAAAAAAAAAAAAATTTTCTTTTTACGGCAACAAAAACAACAACAACAACAACAACAACAACGCTTTAGTTTTTATTTTAATTTTTTTGTTTTTTTTTTTTTATCCGTACATTTTAACCGCGTGATGTAAATTGTTTTTTTTTTTTTTTTTTTAAGAAAAAAAGAGAGAGAGAATGAGAGAAATAATAATAATAATAATAGTTTTTGAAATTTAAACGTTGTGATTGCCACGCTTGCCTTCACTCCAGGATGGCCACTGGCGTCACGATTATTTTCTTCTCCCTTCTCTCTCTCTCTCTCTCTCTCTTTCTCTCTTCTTCTTTTTTTTTCTCCAGAAATTACATGGAGGAGAAAAAAAATAAAAAAAAATTTTGTGGAATTTTTTCGTTTGAAGAACGTATTAAGAAATTTTGAATTTTTTTTTTTTTTTTTGTACGATTTGGAGCTGTTGCTCGGAGCTTTTTGTTTTTTTGTAAATGATGACAATATTTTACACGTTCTCTCTCTCTCCTTCTCTCTCTATCTATCTATCTATCTATCTTTTTTTTCCCCATTTTACTCGATGGTTGTACACTTATTTATTTGTAATATTTTTTTTTTTTTTGTATTTGACTAACCGCCGCCGTTTTGCGGTTGTTTGTTGTAGTTTTTTAATGATCCATCATCATCATCATCATCATCTTTCATCTGTCACGTTGGTAATTTTACAAGACAGTCATTTTACCGAGTCGTTGATTCGAAAACTATTCAAATGAATAATAATAATAATAACAATAATTTTTTTATTATTATTTCTTTTATTTCACACGCGACTACTTGTGAAGTAGTTTAATTCCCCGGAGGGATGAAAGAAAGGGAGGGAGGAGGGGATGGTGTGAGGGGGAAGGGGAAGGAGGAATGTACAAATTTCAATTTTATATTTAATTTTGCCATTTTTCTAACGTCGAGTTTGTCAAATGGTTTTTTTTTTTCCTCTCTCTTTCCTCTCTTGTAAATATGCATCCGTTTTGTTATTGTAATTAAATTAATATTATTATTATTATTATTATTATTATTATTATTATTATTATTATTATTATTATTTTTATACGAGTTTGTCGAAAATTTTTTTAAATTTATCCGTTAAAAAACGAAAAATCCAACAAATCTTTATGAAAAGTCGAAATAATATTCCATTTCGGTTGATTAAACTTTGATCGACCGTAATTATTATTATTATTATTACCTCTCCCCTCCCCTCCCTCCCGTGCCGATTCACAAAACGTTTCAAAGGTGAAAAAAATAAAAATAAAAGTAATAATTTTTTGTGCTTTTCAGTTTGCGGAACCATCGACATCAGGAACAATATATCAAATTTTGAAGTTCTCAGGGGATGTCAAGTAATCGAGGGAAACCTTCAAATTGTTTTAATGACGAACAGAGCCTGTAAAAGTTGTAACGAACTTATAAACAACATCACATTCCCCGAACTGCGAGAAGTGACCGGTTACGTCATATTCTGGAGAGTTCAAGGTCTCCGTTCGTTCGGAACACTTTTTCCAAATCTTTCCGTCATAAGAGGAAAAACGCTTTTCCACAATTACGCTCTAGTCATTTACGAATCAAAGGCTTTACAGGTAATATATATACCGAACGGTTTTTTAAATGAGAGTGAGAGAGAGAGGGGGAGAGAGAGAGAAATAGGTAAAACAAATAAACAAAAATAGACAAAATTTCAAATTCTCATTAGACATATATGCGTGTATGTGTGAACGTACGCATAAAATTTACTTACGCATTTTTTCCGTGTGTGTTTTCGTTACGTACGTACGTAAGTAAAAAATAATAATAATAATAATAAATTTTTTTGTAATAGATAAGGAAGGAGATGATGATAATGTAATGATCGCATCGTGAATTTCGGTGTCACCACGTGTAGGTCACGCGGGATTTTTTTTTATCTTTTGTCATCTCTCCTTTTACTTTTCAACTTGAAGAAAATATGACTGTTGCTGTTGTTGTTGTTTTCTCCTCCTCCTCCTTTTCCACCTTTTATCATTCGTTTATCTTATAAATTCGCCTTTTGGGCGGTTGTTTCGTCGTTTCCCCTTAGCATTAAAAACTATCGTTTGTTTTTTTGTTTGTTTCCTTCGACGATTTAAGAAGGGGGAGGGAGGGAAAAAAAAAATCGCATATCGAAATTTGTATTCAAATCGTTATTCGTTTCGATTAATCGATTTTTTTTTTTTTTTTGTTTTAATTAATCGATGCGTGTGCGTTATGAATAATAAATCGATCGATAATTGCGAGAGAGAGAGACAGAGAGACAGCGACGGTTGAATTTGTTTTCTATTCCTTTGCTTCTTTTCTTTTATTATTATTATTATTATTATTATTATTATTATTATTATTTTTATTATTATTATTTTATTAAATTTCAATAAAAAATAAGATGAATATAAAAGTGAGAAAATTTTTTTTTTTTTTGGATTTTATCACTGTTCACACTTTTCAACTTTTTATTATAAGATTTTCTTTAGCAAAAAAAAAAGGGGGGGGGAGAGAGAGAGAGAAAGAAAGAAAGAAAGAAAACAAGAGGAAGAAGAAGAAGAAAAATTAAAAAGAGTTTAAGTTAAAGTTAAAATGACGAAAGATTTTTTTTTTTTTTTTTTTTTCGTTGAAGGGCCACTTAAAGCTTTCATTCAAAAAGTTATTATTATTATCATCTCTCTCTGTCGCTTTCTTTACGACGAGTCAAATCCGTGAAAGGAAAAAGTATGGAAATTTTCCCCCCCCCCTTTCTTTTATTGTAATTTGTGAATGTGTAAGTGCGTGAGTGTGAGTGCGTAAAGCTTTCAATCAAATACTTTCGAATATTAAAAACGTTCAACTTGGAAAATGATTGAAAAGATGACATCGTCGTGACGTAATTTATTATTATTATTATTATTATTATTATTATTATTATTATTTAACCTCAAAAAAATTGGGGTGGGGAGGAGAGGGAAGTGGAGGGGGCGGGAACATCATCAATTTGAGAGAATTTCGGTCGATTTCTCAAAAAATTTTTTATTTTTATTTTTTTTAATTCGTTAAAAAAAATTTTTTTTGTCTTTTTTTTTCTCTCTTGTCAAAATCGTTTCCCACGAGTAAAAAAAAAAAAAAAAAAAAAAAAATTCCGGGTTGGAGGGGGAGGGGGTAAAAAAATGGTTGCCCGAGTTTTCTTTCTTTCTCTCTCTCACTCTCTCAATTTTTTTTTTTTTTCTATTTTCCGATTCGTATTTTTAAAAATTTTTGACTCGTTCGTTCGTTCGTCGAACGTATTTTTTTTGAGATATTTTTTTTTTTTCCATTTTTTCAATTTTCTCTTTTTTATTTCTCTTTCCCCCCGTAATATTTGACTGTCTCTCTCTTTCTCTCTCTCGAGTTACTTTTTTGAAGTATCAAATTAAAATTGCAAAATCGTAATAATAAATTTTCGAGTGTGTATATTGCGCAAGGAAAATTAAAAAAATAAAACGTGGAATTTCGATTTTTTTTTCGGATTTTTATTCGGAGGAAGGGGGAGGGGTGATAGCAGTGGGAGTAGTGATGGGGAAGGAGGAGTAGGAGTAGGAGCAGTAGGTAAAATCATAGGGGAGGGCAAAAAGTTTAAATAAAAAAAAAAAATTTCAAAAAAAATTTTTTTAGCCTTTCGTTTCGTGTGGGATTTTTTAAATTGATTTCGAATAATTGTGGGTGGATGGAAAAAGAAAGAAAAAGTAGAAAAAGGGAGAGAGAGAGAGAGAGAGGGAAAGAGAAAGATTGGATGGGAAGGAACAGATGCAAGATGAGAGAGAGAGAGAGAGAGAGATGAAAAGAGATAAAAAGTGTGAAAATTTTTTAAAATTTATTTTTACCTATGGCGTTTTTTTTTTTAATTTTTTAATTACGTCAACGTGTGATTATGAAATTAAAAAAAATAATAATAATAATAATAATAAATTTGTCGTATCGATTGATTTTTTATCGATTTTTTAGTAATTAATTGATTTGTTATATACACATACAGGAAATAGGATTGTATTCATTGACTCACATACTACGTGGAAGCGTTCGATTCGATGAAAATTCAAATCTTTGCTTCGTGGATACCATAGATTGGGATTGGATAGCACCTCAAGGTGCCAAAGAACATTTCATTGGGGTAAATAAAAAAAAGAAAATTTTTTGAGTTATCATAAAATCGATTGATGATTGATTGATTGATCGATCGATTGATTGATTTGTCATTTCAGGATAATCGTCCAATTGAAGAATGTTTAAAATGTCCAATTTCTGTAAATAACGAAAAGTGTCCTCTTTCGTCATCCGGAGAACCCCTTTGCTGGAACAAGGAACACTGTCAAAAAGGTAAGCTCTTATTTTTTTTTTTACATTTGGAGGGGGGAGGGGTAGAGGGGAAATTTATAAAAATTTTATAATTTGGATGATTTAATACGCGAAAATGGGAAAAAAATGGGGGGGGGGGGAATTATTTAAATGCCGGCATTTTAAACGCGTTTGATAATTTCAGGTTTTTTCGGGGTTTTCGTTCTCTCTCTCTCTCTCTCTTGTCGTTGCCATCGTTATCATTATCGTTATCTTTTTTTTTTTTTAATAGTTATTTTTACGTATAAAAAAAATTCGATCGTCAAGTCGAGGTATTTTTTTTTTTAATCATTTATCACGTATATAATTATAAATGATGATAATGATGAATAAAGTAGAATGATTTCGAACTCGTTTGGAAAAGTCCTCAGGTTAGGAGAAGAAAAAAAAAATAATGATAATAATAATAAATAACACAATTGGAAAAATTCGATGAAAATAATTGGAATTTCCTTCTCCCTCTCTCTCTTTCTCTCTTTCTTTCTCTCTCTCGCTTTACCTCTCACTCTTTTTCGCACACTCTCCATCTTTTCTTACGATCTAAAATTTTCCCGAAAACTCGTTTTCGCAAAAAATTATTATTATCGTTGGGTACGCCTCTTCCTCTCCACGCGAAGAGAGAGAGAGAGAGAGAGAGGCGATGTTTAAAATAAGGTTGTCGATCTCTGAACTGATGAGTTAGTTTTCCACAAAAAAAAATTAATGGGGAGAAATAGGGTGAAGGGTGACAGACAGGTAGGTAGGGAGGATGGGGGAAAGAGTAATGTAATGATTGTGTTTGTTGTTTGTTGTTTGTTTGTTATTGTCAGTGAAATTTTTTTGTTTTTTGTTTTTTTTTTGCTTCATTTTGGTTTTTTTTTGTTTTAAAATTTTACTCGTCAGCTCATTACAGTCATTTCTTTGTTAATTGTTTTATAAAATAAATTTTTCTCTTTCTTTCTCTCTCTCTCTCTCTCTCTCTCTCTCTCTCTCTTTCTCTTTTCTTTTTTTTTTTTTTTTTTTTTGCTTTTTTTCGCGAGATTCAATTTTTTTTTCGTCGTCGTCGTTCTCCTATCCCATTTGTTATTTAATTTTTTTTTTTTTTTTCATCAGAAATTTTTTCAAAGTATTCAAATGTGGAAAGGTTGGGGAAAAAGTGGGGGAGAGAGAGGGGGGAAACGAGGAGAAATGAGAAAAATTAAGCAAATAAAAATAAAAATAAAATTCTTGGAAAATTTTTATTTTTTTTTTTGCATATGCCAAGCAAAATTTTTATACAAAAAGAGAATTTTTCGGAATCGAATTTTTTTTTTTTTTTTGATATTTCGAAAAGATTTTCCAGTGAAAATTTATTATTATTATTATTATTATTATTATTATTATTATTATTATTATTATTATTATTATTATTATTATTATTATTTATGGTTGTACATAAATTTTTTTTTTTTTTTTTCTAATGTGATGAACTGTTGAACGACTACGTACGTGTCTCCCGCTGTTGCAATAAATAACTGGATTTTTTACTTTTTGCTTTTCTCATAGTCTCTCTCTCTCTCTCTCTCTCTTTCTTTCTTTCTCTCACTCTCTGTCTCTTTCTACATTGTTTAAAGTTCGATTTTCTTTGGTCTCACCACGTATAAGATGATATAAATCATTTTAAATATGAGTTTGTATGCGCGCGTGTGACGTTTTACGTTATTGAACCCGGATGGTTAATGGATGGCTAATAATGACTTTTTCCTTTGCCGAAATGTTTTTCTTTGTATTTTTGCGACAATTTTTTTTTTTTTTTAATGATGAGTAATTTCGTCGCCAAAAAGTGAACAAGAAGGAAAGAGTAATGAAAAAAAAAAAAAAAGAAAATTTTCTTTTGATTTTTGTCGCGACGAAACTTTGGACTCTTCTTCTTCTTTATCTGCGTAAAAGAAATTTTTCTCGTCGGTTTTTTTTAATTTTTTTTAATTATAATTTTTCTCGAAAATATCGTAGCGTAGTACGATCGAGCAATGACTTCGAAACGGAAGGTACCGAGTTCAAATCTCGACAAGATAAAATCTTTTTTTTTTAAAACGAATTATTTCGATTATCTCGGTGATTATGCGTTAATAATTTTAAATGAAAAAATGTAATTTAATAATAATAATAAGTAGTAATATGTTTACATATTGGGCTGGGGGAGGGGAGGCACATTGACGATGAAAAATTTTTGAAAAAATCCGTTTTTTTTTAATGTTAACAATAAATTATTTCGAACGATTTTCCGCCGTCGCGGTTATTTTTACGTTTTGCATCTCTGAGACGAAGAAAAAAAAAACAAATTTTATGATGATGATGATAATGATGATAAATCGTCGGCTTATAAACTTTTGTAACCTTGAGGCGAACGTTCAACGACCGAACATTATTTTTGTTATTTGATTTTTCAATACAAAAACGTCGAAACGTTCGTTCGCACACGGATAAAAAAAACGGGAGTAAGAAGAAGAAAAAAAAATTAATTGTACAAAAATAAAACAGACAAAACAAACAAACAAACAAAACACGTGAAAAATGGGATTTAAAACGAAGAAGAAGGAAAAAAAGAAGGAAAAAAACCATCGTCGAAATTTATTTATTTATTTTTTTATTTTTTCTCTCCCGCTCGTGGAATAAAACGGAGACGTGGAAGTAGACAAACGGAGAGACGAACAAACAATGAGGAAAAAACGGGAGGAGTTTAAAAAAAAAAAAAAAAAGGTACGAAGGCTCATTTGAAAAGGGAAAGATGATTATTGTCGATGTTGTCGTTGTCGCTGTCATTGTTGTTGTTGTTTTTGTTTGATATTTCGAACGTCAATAAAACTGACGGGAGTATAAATGGTTTCATTGTAAGACAAGAGCTAGTCCGGTTCGATTAATCGATAATAATCGAAATTAAAAGGAAAAAAAAAATAATAATAATAATACGAACGCCAATCCGTCCACCCGTCCGTCTGACCGACCGCGTGTGCTTTGGAATGCTTTTAATGTTTTGTTGAGAAAAAATTTTTTAATATTAAAACTTATCGAACGTCATTTATCATCATCGTCATCATCTAAATTATTATTATTATTATTATTAAGCAATTTTTTTTTTCATCTTCGGTAAAGAAGAATGAATAATTTTTTTTTTTTTTTTTATTAATCAATAAGAAGTCATCGTCGTCGTCATCGACATCCCATTGAATTATTTGAAAAGAAAAATAATTGAAATTTATTGCGAGTGTTGTCGTCAATTTATTATTATTATTATTATTATTATTATTATTATTTTCCGCACGAATGTGATTTTTAATCAAAGACGTTGTAGTCAAACATTTGCCGTTGCCGGGAATCGACGAAGTGGAAGGAAGAAAAAGAAAAAAGGAGAGAAAAGAAAATTGAACGTTAAATTTTCATCGATCACATTCTTCACGCGGTCACGCGTACGGAATATGACGGTTGTTGTAGGGGGCGGCGAGGTAGGGGGAAAGAAAGAAATTCTTCTGCTAGCTTGAAAACTCGTCGTTGTAAATAATAATAATAATAACCTTAGAGAGGTCAGACAAACGGAGAGAAAGTCAAGGAGGCGATTATTTTGCTCGCGATTGAAAGAATGCCCTCGAAAAAATATATTCACGGCGGTGGCGGTGGCGGCGGCGACGGTGGTACGAAGAACAAGGAAATACCGCTCATCGTCATCATCATTGTCGTCATCATCATCATCATCATTATCCGGTTTCGTCAAATGAGAACTATGGTCGAATTATTGTGGAGAAAGAAAGAAAAAATCGTTGAAATTTTTTAATCTCTCTCTCTCTTTTTCTTTCTCACGCGCTCGCAGCGGATTTACAAATTTTTCTCTCTCTCTCTCTCTCTCTCTCTCTCAGTCGAGAGAAGAAAACGGTTTTTTTTTATTTAAATACGAGTTTCGTTTAACCGGACCGGTACGACGTTTTTCGACTACAACAATTCAAATGAACAAACAACAATCGAAAACAACAATCAAAAACCTCAGAACCAGAGATTCAAGAATTTTTTGATTTTTAACGGTCGTCAATATCAAGGTCATTCATTATTATTATTATTATTCAAGGTCAAATCACTTAAGAAACGATTTATGAAACGGAAAGAAAAACGTCAAACCGGAAATACTACGTAGAGTGGGAGAGAGAGATAAAGAGAGAGAAAAATTGCTCGAAATTTTAGAGAGAGAGAGAGAGAGAAAACGAGTAAACGATCGGATTAACGCTTTTATTATTATTATTATTATTATTATTATTATTATTATTATTATTATGAATGCCGTTACTCTTACTTTTTTTTTTTCTTTTATTTTCTTTTTCCGATTCCATTTTCATTTTATTTGAGTTGGTAATTTTTTTTTTTCATTTTCTTTTTTTTTTTTTTTTGGGGGGGGGGGGTAAAAGATTCAATTACGAAACGTGATTTCGAGACTTTGAAACGAATTTTTTTGTGTGTGGTTGGAAAAATCCGAAGAAGAAAATCAAAAAAGTCAACAACATGAAGAAGAAAATGATGAGATTGAAAAGAATGGGAATCCATTGTTTTCTTATCAATTAACGGGGGGGAAGGTGGGGAGAAGGAGGAGATTTTTTTTCCAGGGTTATTTTACGGAGTGAGTTCGGAGTATTTTTCTCTTTCTTTCTCTCTTGTTTCTCGAAATTGTAAAATTATCCGAAAATTTAATTTGTTTGAAAATTTTCTTTAAATGAGGGGGGAAATGGGGGAGGGAAAATGGTAAGTTTTGGAAATGTCGAATATGTTTTCGATTGAAAACTTTTCTTGTTGTTTGTTGTTTTTGATGTTGTTTTGCTATGGGAAAAAAATTTTCCGCGTTTTATATTCAAGTTGTTGAACAAATATGGTTACCTCTCTCTCTCTCTTTCTCTCTCTTTCTCCCCTGTGCGTCGATGATGTATTTAAAATTATAAAAAAAATATGAAATTTGAAGAAGGAAAAATTTTCAAAAAAAAAAAAAAAAAACAAAGAAAAAAGAAAAAAACGTGACCGATTCATTGATGGGGAGGTTTTTTTTTTTTTTTTAAATTGATTGCTTTTATTTTTTTTCATCCCTCTCTCTCTCTCTCTCTCTCTCTCTCTCTCTTTTCGCTTTTTCGAAAGCCGTTCGAGCTGTTATTTTTTTTTTTTTTTTTTTTAAATTTTTATATTTTTTGAAAAAGAAGAACAAGCTTTGCAATTGTGATTGATTTTTGAATGATTGATTCGAGAAAAAATTTTCTTATTTATTTCTCCTTTCCCACCCTCACCCCCCATTTCAAACTTTCGCCATTTTTTGTTTTTTTTTTTTTTTTTGATTTGTTCGATTTCCTAACTTTTCTTATTGTTTTGTTTTCCGCTTTTCCGAAACGTTTTGAAAAAACGAGAAAAATAAATAAATAAATAATTTTTTCTTTATTTTTTTTTTATGTTTTAATGCAAAAAATGAAAAGTTTGAAAAATATATTTAATGTAGAGATTTGTTCGATTCGATCGATCGATCGATTAATCGATTTTCGATTCGATTACCAACGAAACAACCTCCTGATTGACTGCGACGTGTAAAAAAAAAAAAAATTGAAAAAAATTTTGGTTTAAAGATGGAAAACGAAGGAAATGATTATTCTGAAAAATTTAATTCGTTTATATTTTTTATAAATATTATTATTATTATTATCATTATCGTTTCCTTTGTTGTTGTTGTTGTGGCTGTTTTTAATTATAAAAAAATCTTAACGATTTGCGTGTCTGCTTTGGATTATTCGAGAAAATGGACAAATCGCATGATAATAATTATCATCTTTAAGTTTTTACATTATAATTACTTTGTCTCGATGGATAGATGGACGTTTTATCCATTTCCGGTTTTAATTTTTAATTTTTTTTTTTTTTTTTAAATAGATTTTCGTGATTGCGTCAAAGATGAAAACGGAGAATGTTGTCACGAATCTTGTTTGGGGGGTTGCAGTGGAAAATTGTCAAAGGATTGCTACGTTTGCAAAAATGTCGTTTTCAAAAACGATTGCACGCAAGAATGTCCGGAAAATATGTACAAGGTAGGTTACGATGGGATCCAATGGGAGGTTTTCGTATAAGTTTTTCTTTTTTTTATCTCTCTCTTTCTCTCTCTCTCCGTTTAGTATTTGGATCGAAGATGCGTCACGGAATCGGAATGTTTTAACATGACGAAACCGTTGGACGTTGAAAAAAGAGACATCGCATCACCCTTTCCGTTCAGACCCATTTTGGATATGTGCACTCTCGAATGTCCGGCTAATTTTTCCGAATACGAAAAAGAAACGGAATACGGATTGAGATTTCAGTGTCGACCCTGCGACGGTCCTTGTAAAAAAGAATGTCCAGGAGGAAGCATAAACAGCATTTCATCCGCTCAAAAATTTGCGGGTTGCACACACATAAAGGGATCCCTGGAAATCCACTTGAGATTTGCCGGTTTGTACTACTTTGCACGTTTTCATCAAAATGTCGTTTGATTTGAAAATAAATAAATTTTTTTTGTTTTGTTTTGGTAGGAAACATAGTGACGGAACTACAGGAATCATTAAGATCCGTCGAAGAAATATCCGGGTATTTGAAAGTCGCGAGATCCCTTCCCCTCCTCTCTTTGGATTTTCTTAAAAATTTAAAAGTTATAAGAGGAGAAGAACTTCACAACAACAAGTGTGTATAAATAAATAAAAAAAAAAAAATGAGAGCAAAAGTTTTTTCTACTTTCTTTTACTTTTAATACTTTTTTTTTCCTTCCCCCCCCCAGGTCGGCTTTTGTTTTACTCGACAACGAAAGACTCGAAGAACTCTGGGATTGGGATGCGAGAGAAAAAGATTTGAGAATATTAAACGGAAGATTGGCCATACATTTCAATCCGAAATTATGCTTTTACAAAATTGAAAAATTTGTCGAAATTGTTAAAATAAAAGGTTTCACGGAAGACGAAGTCCCCCGCGGAACGAACGGAGACAAAGAAGCATGTGAGTTGTCAGTTGTCGGTTGTTGTCGGTTGTTCTCTTTTCGTTCAGCAATTAATGAATAAAAAAAAAAAAAATATTTGTGCAGGTAATTTTACGACGCTTCATCCATACGTGGCCGTTAACGAAGCCAATAAAGTCGTTATAAGATTTGAAAAATTTCAACATTACGATCAAAGAACTCTTTTGGGTTACGTTTTATATTTTAAAAAAGCTCCGAACAAAAATGTTACTTTGTACTATGGGAGAAATGCGTGCGGTGGAGACGGGTAAGTTGCTGGGTCGGCCATCATCATCGTCATCATCATCGTGTTTCCTACTTTTACATTATATTTATTTTTCAGTTGGATGGATAAAGATGTTCCAGCGCCCAAACAGGATAATCATCAAAATGAAATTTCCTACGATTTAATCGGATTAAAACCTTTTACTCAATACGCTTATTTTATAAAAACCTATGCGATAAGCTCGGAAAGAAGCGGAGCGCGAAGCGGAATTCAATATTTTATTACAAATCCTGGAAGTGAGTTTTCTCTCTCTCTCTCTCTCTCTCTGCATCCCTCTATCTCACTCTCTTTTCTCCGGTTGAATTCTCAAAAGAATTGAAAAAAATTTTTTTTTGTTTTCTCTTCCACAGCACCTACGAGTCCACGATCCTTGTTTGCATTTTCCAATTCGACTTCGGAAGTCGTTATTAGTTGGGAGCCTCCGGCGGAAATGAACGGAAATTTTACTCATTATTTCGTCGAAGCCGAAGCGATGGAAGACCATCCTAAAAGCAGGGATTTTTGTTCAGAGCGTGAGTATTACCTACTGACAAACGCGGAGATTTGCTTTTGATTGATGGGTTAGATCATCTGGAATTGCAATTTTTTTTCGATTTTTTCCTAAAGCTCTCGTGATCGCGACGAAAAAATTAGAAATCCCGACGTCGCCACCGCCTGCCGTGAAAACTTCATCGGATTCTTGCGCTTGCGAAGCACCAAGAAAAGTCGATTTGAAAGTTTCCGAAGCCGTTCGCGATTCGGAAATATATTTTGAAAACGCTTTGCAAAATTCTTTTATCGTTCGAAGGTAATGATAGCAACAAAAAAAAGAGAAAATTTCCCCGTTCGGGAAATCAATTTGTGAGTTGTTATCATCATTATCATTATTTTCTTTCTTTTTTCAGAACGGACAACAAAAGAACGAAACGTGAAATGAATTACGCCGAAGGAAGTCATCCGCAAATATTACAAAAAAATCATTTTTTTAACGAAGGAGTAGGAGGGAAATCATTTGGAAATACAAAAAAAGGTAAAGGGGACGACCCCCCCCTCCCCCTTCCAAATGACGATAATAATGTCGATATTAATTTTTTTTTTTTTATTTTTAGAAAAAGTCAGTTTCACGTTCGAAGTGAGAACGAACAAACTCGTCGTGAGAAATTTAAATTATTTCACAAATTATAAGATACAGGTACAGGCATGCAGAGCCGTCGTGGAAGGAGAAAATGGCGTTCACTCTCCGTGCAGTCCGAAAGAAACTTTTTACGTGCGAACGAAGAGAAACGGTAATAAAATCATCATTATTTATTTAAATAATAATAATAATAATAACGATAAATTTAAATGAACGCGTTAATCGGCGTGAGAAAAGAACAAAAAAAAAATTTTTTGTCTTCTGCTTTTTTGTTTTTATATATAGAAACCGCAGATAAAATTCCAGTCATCACTCTCATACCGCTAACGTCGAACGGAACCGTCGAGGAAACAAATTTAAGATGGGAAGAACCACCGAATCCGAACGGTCTCATACTTTCTTATCAGATCGAATACCGTCGGGTTGATAACGATAAGGTTTTTATTCTTGACTTTTCCGTGAACCCTCCCCCCCAAGTGTTGCACGTTGTTATTAATAATAATAATAATAATAATTGAATTTTTTTTATATTTTTTTTAAAGTACAAATCCGTCGTCGAATGCATAGTTCGAGAGAAATTTCTGGAACAGAAAAAGGAATACGTTTTGAAACATTTGCCTCCGGGAAATTACAGCGTGCGAGTTTTGGCATCTTCCCTTGCGGGTGACGGACCTTATTCGTCACCTCTGACGTTTTACATTCGTCAACCGCCTCATCCTAGCACGATCGACATATTGGGCATCGGTTTAGGAGCCATATGTGGAATCGCTTTCATATTCATTTTGTACATGTTTTGGAAGAGGAAAACGAGCGGAGTCCCCAAACTGTTCGCGAACGTTAATCCCGAATACGTCAGCGCGGCGACGAGTGAGTGAAATGAAAAAAAAATTTTTTCCCTTCCTCTCCCCTCCCCTCTTTCTTCCCCCTCTCGAACCCGAACGTCTCGTTTGACATTTTTCTAATTTTTTTTTTTTTTTTTTTCAAAAATTTTTAGTTTACGTTCCCGATGAATGGGAAGTACCCAGGGAAAATATCGAACTGATAAGAGAATTAGGTCAAGGATCTTTCGGTATGGTATACGAAGGTATAGCGAGAGATATCGTGCAGGGAGAACCGGAAGTGAGATGCGCCGTTAAAACGGTCAACGAAGTTTCAACGGATCGCGACAGAATGGAATTTTTAAATGAAGCTTCCGTAATGAAGTGAGTTAATATTATTATTATTTGATTGATTGATTGATTAGGAGAAATTACGTTAATTTTTTCTCTCTCTCTCTCTCTCTCTCACCCTCTAGAGCTTTCAACACTCATCACGTCGTGCAATTGTTGGGAGTCGTTTCGGAAGGTCAGCCAACTTTGGTTGTCATGGAACTCATGGTCAACGGTGACTTGAAAACTTACCTGAGATCGCACAGGCCGGAATTTTGCGAAGACAAGAAAAAACAGCCTCCGACACTGAGGGTAAATTTTCCTTTTTTTTTTTTTTTTCGTATCGAATAAAAGTTCGCGAACGTTCTCACCGACGTGACATTGTATATGCGTGCGTATTTTCAGAGAATCATTCGAATGGCAATGGAAATAGCAGACGGTATGGCGTATCTAGCAGCTAAAAAATTTGTTCATCGTGATTTGGCCGCGAGGAATTGCATGGTCGCAGAGGATTTGACCGTTAAAATTGGAGATTTCGGAATGACGAGAGACATTTACGAAACTGATTATTACAAAAAAGGTAACCGAAGGCACTTGCGTCACAAAGAAATATCTCAAAGACGGGAACGCAACTTATTAAAAAAAAAAAATTTCCTTTTATCAGGTACGAAAGGTTTGCTACCCGTTCGGTGGATGGCACCGGAAAGTTTGAAAGACGGAGTTTTCACCACTCATTCCGACGTTTGGAGTTACGGTATCGTTCTGTGGGAAATGGTCACTTTGGCATCACAACCTTACCAGGTGAAATTTTTTTTGTTCTTGTTTTGTAAACTTTGAAAAGCCTTTGATTTAGTGGCCTATGATGAGAAGATGATCTCACGAGCATTCACGACCGGTTCTTTCTTCTTAGGGTTTGTCAAACGATCAAGTCCTTCGTTACGTCATAGAAGGAGGAGTCATGGAACGTCCGGAAAATTGTCCGAACAAATTATACGATTTAATGAAATTATGTTGGCAACACAAACCGTCATCTCGACCTCACTTCATGAGCTTCGTCACCAAATTACTACCGGATGCTTCTCCAGAGTTTTGTGAAAAGTCTTACTATCACAGTCGAGAAGGACAAGAATTGAGGTGGTTTATCATTTTTTCTCTCTCTCTCTCTCTCTCTTTTTCTTTTGTTTTATATCGATTAATTTTTTTTTGTTTCTGGAATGTTCAGAGCGCATTTAGAAGCAGCGGAAAGTTCGAAAATGAATCAATTTCAAACGACGGGGGCGACGACAGCGACGACGACGACAGAGATTCCATTACAATTAGCTAAAGACATAGAAGATTTTTCGATCGGAGGATCGGATAACGAATTGGACGAAGATAACGAAGAAGCCGATTTGGAAGTCGAACCCGCTTTGATATCACCTCAAAGAGGTCTTTTGTCGTCCGTGGCAAGACCGGAAATATGGTACAAATCGAATAAGAAACCCGCGACGGTAGCGGCAAGCGCGTCGTCGAGCGAGAGTTCGAGAGGTAGCAAAGTGAGTAACGGAAGCGCGGGAGCGCCGGCGACAGTGAACGGGTACATAATGGGGCGAACGTCGAACGACACGAGAACGACTCAATTCTGACTGGGATCCCCGGAAGGGCAGCAAAACAAAAAAAAACAAAATAAAATAAAAAAATGAAAATTATAATTGCTACTAATAATAAGGACAACCGCAATAACGGAACAAAATAAAAGCAAAAAACAAAAATAAAAGCAAAGAAAATTTATCGAATGAAAATCGAACGGATTCAATTTTCGGATCGATCGCCGCCGCCGCTGCCACCACCACCGCCACCAGACTCCGTTCGCTCAGTCGTTTCTGAGATTTCCGTGAATGAGATAAAAAGGAAAAAAAAAATTAATAATTATTAATTATTATTATTATCATGATCATCAACAAAAAGGAATCGATAGCAAATACTGAAGATTATTTCCGTTGGGTAAATGAAAACCGGATCCGGATTTACGAAGCAGACGAAAAAAGAAAAAATAAATAAAATGGAATTTTTGCTATTGAAAAAAGAAATTTTTTTTTTTTTTTACTTTTCTGAGCGTCTGAATCTGACCGAATGATAAAAATTTTTTCTCTTATCAAAAAAATCCGTTAAACGTATCGTCGTTTGATAATAATAATAATGACGATTGATTGATTGATTGATTGATCGCAAAAGACAGAAAAACACAAAACCCAAAGTGAAAAGGAAGATGATGATGATGGTGATGGGGAATGGTAGTAATTTTTGATACGAAGAATACCGTTAAACGGTAGCAAATTCTCGAATCAGTCATTCATTCATTCATTCATTTATTCATTCGTGATGTTCGTTTGCTAATATGGGGTCAGATTCGACAAAAAGGAATGATTTAAAAAAAGTAAAAAAAAAAAAACGAGTAAGTTTTTTTTTTGTTACCCCGACAACATCCGGTTTTGCGATTTCCGGTAGCAAAAAAAAGAGATATATTCTTTTGCAATTTTTTTTTGCAGGTTTTAAATCGCAAAAGGAAAACCAAAAAAACAGAAAAAAATTTGCTATCGTCAAAGAAGAAAAAAACCGATCGGAGGGGAAGGTGAGGAAACAGAAAATCGATGAGGTGGAAACTCAAACTGAAAATTACAAAATTATTATTATTATTATTATTATTACTATTATTATTATTAATTATAATGATAATAATAATAAATGATAATGATAATAATACGTAATAAATAATTATTTATTAAATATATAAATATCAAAAATTTACAAAAGATTATTTTAGTTAAGTTACGCTAAAAAAGTTACTAATTTTTACACTAAATAAAGAAACATCGTTATCATTATTATTATCATTATTATTATCATTTTTCGTCGAATATGATGGGGAGGGGGAAAAAAAATAAAAAATGACGATGTCGATGATGATGACGTAAAGACGACGACGACGACGAAAAATACAGGTTTGATGTGATGATAAAGGACGGCGTGTACGTGACGTCATCAATATAAAATTTTCTTTTTTTTTTTTTTTAAGAAAAAGTTAAAAATGGCGCCGCCGTTTTTTTGTTTTTTTTTTTTCTATTTGTCTTTATTAAAATTGATGACGATCGAAACTAGATGAAAATTAATGGAAATTATCATTATGATTATCATTATTAATTAATTATTTATTTAATTTATGTGCGTTTGATGTATTGTTGAATTCCGGGGCCGAAAATAAATAAATACATAAATAGATAGATTAATAATTTTGTAAATGTTTTAAATAAGTCATACAAAATCATCATCATCATCATCATCATGAGTATTATTATTATTTTTGATTAAATGATAATGATGATGATAATAATAATAATAACTGGGAAAAGTTACTCGTTTAAATAATGAAATTTATTAACTTGATGATGGATTTTGCTTGTTTATTTATTTTTTTTTTTTGTAACCGTAAAATTTATTACGGTGGTTAATGATAATAATGATGATGATGATGATGTTTTATAAGAAAAAAAAAACAAGTACAAATAATAATAATAATAATAATTTGAAAAAAAAAAAACACTCAAGAGTCGTCAGATGTTTACGTACCCTCTGTGTTTTTTTTTGCATATTTGCTACTGTGAAACAGGTAAAATAAAAAAAATTTGCTATCGTTTACACACGTGTACATAAAAAATAAATAATTAGTTACTTAGGATTGAGTGAGTGAGAAAGAGAGAGAGAGAGAGAGAGAGAGAGAGAGAGATGAAGAGTTAAGTAACGTCGTATCACACGAATTTATTATTTTTAATTTTTTTTTTTTCCATTTAAAGGTTTCTTTAAATCGATTGATCGATTTTTTTTTTTCAATCTCTTAGTGACGTCATCATCAATAAAAAAAATAATCATTATTATTATCATTATCGTCGTCGTCGTCGTCGTCATCATCGTCCTCACTTGTTCAGAGTGCCAATTTTCACAAATAATAAAATAAATAAATAAGTTAATTTAATAGTAATGATAATGAAGATGATGCTGATAATGATGATGATGATGATGATGATGATGATAACGATGATACATTATAAGACTGCTAAATAATAATAATAATAATAGTAGTAAAGGTTATCATTAGATAAATAATAATTTATAAAAATAAAAATAAAATTAGGTAATTTGTATAATTCAAATTTATTATCATTATTATAATTATTATTACACTATTACTTTAACTGTAGGAAAAAAAAAATAAATAAATAAATTTTTTATAAGTGAAAAGTGGATTTTTGGTGGGAAGCAGGGGGCGGGAGGGCGGGAGAACGACAAGAAGGAAAAACTTTTTACGACGTTTATATCGCAACACGTGCCTTTTTTTTCATTCATTCATTCAATCCTCTCTCGTTTTCTTTCTTTTTTTTTGTGGGAATAGTTTTCGTAGTAAATTTATCCATGTAGAAAGGGGGAGAGAGAGAGAGAGACGAAAAACAAAAAAAGGAAATTCGGGATAATCGGGATGATAAAAAAAAAAGAATTTTCTGGAAAAAGAAAAAATTTATAAAATGGCGAATTTTCTTTCTTTCTTTCACTTTTTTTTGGTCCATGTTCACATTTAATAATAACGCGTGAATGTATATATGTATAATTTTAAATATAAGCTCAATAATAATAATAATAATAATAGTAATAATAATAATGATAATGATAATAATAATGATAATTATTATTTTAGTTCCTAAAAAAAAAAAAAAAAAAAAATTTTTTTAAACGGAAACAAATGCCAAAGTTTTCTTTTTTTATTTTTTTTCACATCTCCTCAATTGTTTTATTATTATTATTATTTAAACAATAAATTAATTAATTAATAATGATAATGATAATAATAATAAATTTTTATGTAATTATCGATTAATAAATAAATAAGTAAATAATTATTGATAAACTTTTTGGGTTTTTCTTTCTTACCTTTTTTCGGTGGATGTGTTCGTTTGTTTGTTGTTTGTTTTTACATTTGTACGTTTGTTCAAACGTGTTTATGTTTGTACGGATCGATGATAAAAGGGGTTAAAAAATAAATAACACGATTTAAAATATCATCATTATTATTATAATAATTTAGAATAAAAATAAAAAAATAAACAATAATTGACAACAAAAAAATTAAAAAACAAACAAAGCAAATTTAAAAAATAAAAAAAAATATTTAATAATAACAACAACCGCGACAATTATTATTATTCTTACCGTAAGATTTGCTGTTGCGGTTGTTGTTGTTGCTGCTGTTGCCTCTTTTCATTTTTTTCTTTTCTGTTTCTTCTTTTTGAATTTTTTTAACGGAAACCCATTCGCAAACGCCATTGTTACATCTCAATACTTTCTTAGTCGGTTCTTTTTTATTTTTACTTTTTAATTTTTTCTTATTTTTTTTTACGGTTGTTGTTGCTGTCGTTTCTTGACAACAATCGGAACAATCGCAACTCGAACTTGTTTCTGAATAATAATTATTATTATTACAATCTCCGCAATATGAACAACCGGATGAAAATGACGATTCCGAATCTGACCAATCTGAACTTGAACTATTATTATTATTATTATTATAACAAATCGGTTGTTTCCTTTCGAATTTTTTTTTATTTTTTTCTCTTTTCCTGTTGCTGTTGTTGTTGTTATTCATTTCGCAATTCATCGACGTACAATCGCACATTTTTTTTTACAAATAATGAATCAAGTAAATAAATAAATAAATTAATTAATTAAAGTTTAATTAATTAACTTTAATAAATAATTTCCGAATATATTAAAAATTTTTTTCTTTTACTTACTCACGAGACCTTTAACCTTTTAACGTTTAATTCTGACGTGATGATGAGAGAACAAACAAAAAAAAACATTTTTCTTCGTACCTGTTTTCACTTGAATTTTTCTTTAGGTTTAATTTCATATCGTAACATGTCCCAAAAATTTTTCCCGTTCGATTATTTAATATCACCTTTTTATTATTATTATTATTATGGTCACTCTTAAACACGACAAGGCTCTTATTTGTCGGGGTTTTTAAGTTTATTTATTCCAGGTTTCTACCCGACGATTCCTTAGGGACAAATGCTCGAATTTCGGTGGTGCTACTTATAATATTTTCCGAAGAATGTGGGCCGTCCCACATAGTGCGATTTCCTGGATGGTTTCTTCCTTTAGGTTCTTCAAAATCTTCTTTAAGTTTCCTTTTATTGAATGCGGTGGCATGGCTCCCAGTGATGCTCCCACGATGACCGGAATCAATTCTGTCTTTATTCTCCCCACATCCAGGCTGTTTCAGCCTTTCGTCCG